GGCAGTGTTGGAGGACTTCGACCAGCGGCATCCCGGCGCGCGTGACGACGAGCAGCCGCGTAGCGATCGGAGAATCGGCCGAACCATGAGATGGTGTTACTGTCGTGAAGCGGCTCGTAGCCTACATCATCGTCATCGTCATCGGAGGCCGGAGCCCAGCCGTATACAGAGCGTGAATTCGACATCTGACCTTCGTAGTTGGGGAGATTGGTCGAGTTGGGGTTGCCGGAGGCGTCGCGTTGACGGCGCACGATGGGGATGCGGCGGTTGATTTCGATGCGCAAGTGGGACGGATCATCCAGCTCCATGGGCTCTAAATCGAAATCAGACGCGATTTGCTGTCGACGTCGGCGCTGGCGACTGAGTGAAGAAGTCGAGTCTGGTGGGGAGCGCACACGAGATCGGAGAAAGCTCACGTTATCATCATGAGCGTCATCGGACACGGCTGCGGGGAGCGAGGGAACAGGCAAGGAGAGCGCGGTCAAAGGCCGAAACGAAGAAGCGGAAGACGACTGAGCGGGGGGATCCTGTGACAAAAGGAGAGAAGGTTAGAGTGGAAACGAAACTCTTCTGTCGATGGCATCAACCGAGCAGGCAAGGCACGTCACAACATCGGCTTGGTACCTCAATCCCACGGTCTGCGCAGAGTCAAAGTGGCGACCGTCCCGAGGTACGGGATACGCAGGAACAATCGACATGAATGGAGGGCCAGAGCGAGTAGTGACAGCTTACCGATGGCGAGTTGACGGGGGGCATGATCTGAGTGAAAGCAACAGGTGTAGATCGAGTGGCGGCGGAGAGGCAGTCCGCCAGGGAGGAAGATGGACGATGGGAGATCGCATCCACCAGGAGGCGGTTCAAGGAGAGACAAAATCCCCTTTCAAGTAGCAGCTCAAATCAAGGAGCTGGAGCGAGTGAAACATAAATTCCCGACCGTTGGAAGGGTGCAAAAAGACGAGCGGCGATGCCGAAGTAGCAGAATGTGAGGAAGATGATGAGGTTTTTGACTTGCAGGAAGTTCGATTCCAAAGCAAATCCAAAAGCCGCCGAGTCACTGGATTGCCTAATCGGGCACCCCTCGCCGACTTCTCGTTTGAACTTCTTCCTTTACTTTCTCTCACAATCTTTTCGGGAGACTTTATGCCTTCCTTGTACCTGCTGAATTTCTCCATCGCTGCTTATTTCTCCTTGACATAATCACCATTTCTTATACACGACGGGGTTCATCCGTTCCATCCTCCAACGCTGGGTTCTGTACTTGGACACAACCCCGGATGTGCCCCATACTTATACTCCACTAGACCATGTAGATATCTACAACAATCGTCACGCTACGCACTTTATTTCCAACCAAGGGGAAGTCCTGCACAGCCATACCATCCATCTTAGCGAAACATGCAAGGGATTCTCGTCGAACTCCACTCTTGAATACCTCACGCCCCCGGAATTATGTGAACTAATGCAGGATGACAGCGTCCGTCTATAAGCCGAGTCCACTATGGCTTTAACGGTGCGTTTCATGCCAAAGCCAATCTCATCTCATTCCTGGGCATCCTGCATGGTCTGGTCTTGGTCGATCGGATGCCGTGTTGCCAAGTTGCACCACTGCGAGACCCATCTATCAATACTCTCCGTGATGGAGCCATGTCGGTAATTCGGCCTGGTAGACGGAGCAACTCCGATTTCTCTTCACGATCATAAATATCACAGATTGTCTCAGCGTGTCAGCTACGCTATGCATCCTGCCAGCCAACCAGCAGATCGACCCATTATCAACCAGCAAAATATAGTCTCTCGCCAGCATGGTCAAGATCAAGTCCATCGAGTACTTCCGCGTCCCTCCCCGTTGGCTCTTCGTCAAGATCGTCGATGAAGATGGCCAATGCGGATGGGGTGAAAGTACTCTAGAAGGCCATACCGAGGCTGTCGAAGGCACATTAAATGCTCTCTGCAAGCGGTTCCAGGGTTACGAAGCCGAGTACATATCCACCCTCCCTGCTGGGCAAGGCATCCAACTAATCTCGAGTGACCAGTGACATCGAACACATATGGCAAATGGCCTGGCGTCTGGGTTTCTACCGCGGAGGCCCGGTCTTCATGTCCGCCATTTCAGGAATTGACATCGCACTCTGGGATCTGAAGGGCCGTCGCCTTGGCGTCCCCATCTACCAGCTACTCGGAGGCAAAGTCCGGAACAAACTGTCCGTCTACGCATGGATCGGAGGAGACCGGCCCTCCGATGTCGAGGCAGCCGGGAAAGCTCGTCTCGCGCAAGGCTTCAAAGCCATCAAGATGAATGCCACCGAGGACATCAACTGGCTCGATTCCCCTCGTGCGTTGGACTCCTCCGTTGAACGGCTGAAAACCGTCAAAGCACTGGGCTTAGACGCAGCCCTCGACTTCCACGGCCGCCTCCACAAACCAATGGCCAAGCAGCTCGCCAAAGCCCTGGAGCCGCACCGCCCTCTTTTCCTGGAGGAGCCGCTCCTCTCTGAACACCCCGAAGCCATCAAACAGCTATCGGATCAAGTGTCTTGCCCCATCGCCCTCGGTGAACGCCTCTACAGCCGCTGGGACGTGAAACGCTTCCTGGAAGACGCGAGTGTGGACATCCTCCAGCCCGATATCGCCCACTGCGGAGGTATCTCCGAGCTACGACGGATAGCCTCCATGGCCGAAACGTATGATGTTGCAATTGCCCCGCATTGTCCCCTGGGATCCATCGCTTTGGCGGCGTGTATGCAGGTGGACTTGGCGACTCCCAACTTTGTCATCCAGGAGATGAGTCTGGGGATGCACTATAATACGGAAGCGGGCGAATATGATATTACTAGCTACGTCAAGGATCCTAGTGTATTTACCGTTAAGGATGGATACGTGGATGCTCTGACGGCGCCGGGATTGGGCATTGACGTGAATGAGGAGCTGGTCAGGCAGTTGGCGGTAAATTCTGAACCCTGGGCGCCCAAGGAATTCTTTGGACCTGATGGGGGCATCCGCGAGTGGTAGCTTCGCTAAAATTCTTTAGTGTATTTAGCATAGCGTGAATAGATAGTGTTGACCTATACGACACCATGATGAAATGGGCTATGCAGTATTTCTTCTATCTAATAAATCTATGTACTATTCGTTGAGAAGCTTTTCTCAATATTCTAATATCAAATATCGCCTCCAAAGGAAGTGAAGTCCTGCATACATCTGCCGCAGAAACATCATTAGGCCTTCCTTGCCGCATTGCACTGATCCGCCCGCTTGATGCAGTCATTGATCATATTCCAGAACACATCCAGATCCACACCACGGGGAATGCAAACCGCGTTAGGGTTCGCCTCAACCACAGATCGACCCAGCGAGCCCACCAGCGCAATGTCAGTTCCATGGAGTCCATCCGTGATGACATTGACGGAGAAGCGCTCTCCGCCGCGGTCGTCGAACTTCAGGACCTGGTCGGGGTGACTCTTCGCGTAGGCAGGGTTCAAGGTCGACAGGATGACCGCCACAGCAAGGGGGTCGTGCAGGGGAGGACCAGTGGAAAGACCGAAGACGGTTTCGTAAGTATTGGCGAAGAAGATCAGGAGCTCGTATAGCATCTGACGCAGGGTGGTGGGCTCGACGGAGGCATCGTCCACGCCGTGGCGGACGAGGTTCCGGACGCTCTGGTCGGCAAGGACTTGGTGGGTGAGGTCGAGAGTAATCAGGGTGGTCTTGGATGCAACGACTGGGTCGCTGAAGATGGCTTGGGAGGCTTCGGGATCACACTGGTTTTATATAATGTTAGTAGTTGGTAGATACAGGAGGTCGGTCTCTTGAAGAGGATGGCTTTGGGAGATGGTAGTATAGGGGACATACGTAGATGTTGAACTCAGCAAGAGGCGTTACGTTGCCAATTCTGTTTTCTTGTCCCTCGAGTCTGCTCATGGGAGCGTCGGTGAATCCTTCACCCACACCTCCACCCATGATGGTCAGACCGGCAATGTGCTCCGCAACCTCGGGGAAAGTCGCGAACAACAGGGCAACGTTGGTCAGTGTGCCGGTTGCAACAACCCATGGTGTACCCTTGGGGTGCGCCATGAGGGCATCCCGCATGGCCAGAATGGGGTTCTTGTCTGTGATCGGGGCCGTTGAGGCCTTGGGCAGGAGGTCGGTACCGTCCAGACCAGAGTCACCTATATTTCGCAAAGGTTATTCTCACGGGCTTCTGCTTTAGTCAAATATTCATGCGCAATGCTTACCGTGGATATTGGGCGCATGGAGAGCGGGTCTGCAGAATGGCTTCTTGCTTCCGGGGTACACGGGGATCTCTGGCCGGCCGATGGCCTCCAAGACCCGAGTGGCATTGATAGTGGTGTTCTCCAGGGAGGCATTGCCGTGAATGGTGGTAATACCGAGAAGCTTCAGCGAGGGATGGTGTGCAGCAAGGAGAATGGCAAAAGCATCCTATATATGGGCCAAAACTCCTGAGTGGTTAACCTTGTATACCATATGTTGTTTTTCTCTGACTCATAGATTATACTCACATCGTGGCCTGAGTGCTTGTTAGCGTAGCTACACTTGGATGGAAAAGAAGTACCTACCTGGATCACAGTCCAGCCACAGTGGGATCGGCGTGTCCACTGAGGAAGCCATTGTATAGCGCTACCAAAAGATATAAGGGAAAAAAAAAAAAAAAGGGAGAAAGAGGGGACGGAGATGACAGCGAAAAGCGATTGCGGGGATTGCAGACAGATAAGAAAACCCCGTGCCGATAAGCCTTATCGGCGGGCACGGGTCTATATCAGCCCTAAGCCCTACCTTCCCGATACGGTAGGGACAGAGCGTCATCCCTCCAAGTCCGTCGCAGTTGCCGCGGCTTGCTGCTCTTGCTTCCCCTGCCTGATGGCATTCTCACCGGGAGCGCCTTTCTCTCCGACTGCTTGATTCCTTATATCTGCTCTGTACATACTAGGTATCATAACGGTCTACTCTTTTTGCTCCCGTTCTGCCTGCTTTCCTGCGATGAGATGACCAGCGACCCTCTCCGCCCGGGCCTCCATCCGCTGTCGCATCTCAAAGCTGGCCCAACGACCTCCAGCTCGAAGTCGACGGCTGTGCCTTCGTCTCCAACTCTGCAATCCTTTGCCCAAACTCCGACGCGCCCGCAGCCAGTCAAACATGCCAGTCGAGAGGATCCAGTTAATGCGACGAGCGACAAGGCGACGATTGCTCTAATTCGACGCGTCCTATGTCCTCAAGCTGGTAACCATGGGGGTGCCACTACTCCTCAGCCTCCGGAAGATCTGCTGCCTCCACTTACGAGCTCGAATGAGGTAGATCGTCAGCTTTATGCGCTTATTGCCATCATCGTCAAGGAGTTTGTGTACACTTGGTACTCAAAGATCACATCGGATCAGGTGCTCGTGAACGAACTCCTTCAGATCATTGCACACTGCACCCGCGCTCTTGAGCAGAGGTTGCGCGAGACCGATGTTGCGCAGCTGTTTCTTGATGAGATTCCTGCTCTCGTTGAGAGGCACATTACATGTAAGACCTTGCGTCTTGTCCGACGTCTAAGGAGGGGGTACATGAGCTGACCGCGGCCTTGGTTGTCTATAGCATATAGACTAGCGAAGCAACAATCAGAACAGTCTTCGATATCTCCGCTCCGCGAGCTTTATCATGCTCTGAATCCGCATCCAGGCCTCTCACCGATTCCCGACCCGTCAGACGCTCAAGCTGTTGCGCAGCAAAGAGAAAATGAATCAATCTATCGACAACTATTGGTTCACGGCATGTTAGCGGTGCTACTTCCCACGGAGGACCTGGAAAATGCTTCTCTGCGGACTCTGCTCGGCGACATCCTGGCAGATCTTGTGCTGGGCAACGCAGTGGCCGGAAAAGTCAGCGAAGGATGGTTCTTGTGGGACAGTATCACGAAGGTGGTGGACAGAGTAGGGCGCAATGAAAAGGAGGAGGATGCAGCGACTGCAACGATGCGTCAGCGATCCAGACTTCACAAGTACGGTCTTCTCTCTCAAGAAGCGTTCACGGAAGGTCATTCGTCGTCTCAAGTTCAAGTGCCAGTTCCCGACTGGATCTGGCAAGCGCTACAATATGCCTACATGATCTACGTGACTTTACGTTTCATTGTGATCGGCCTGTTTCGCGTTGCATCCGCTCCTCCGGTTACTGCGTCCCTGACACCATGCCCTCCAACCAGCAACGCGGACGGACCCCCCTCGTGCGCAACCTCCAAGAAGCGCCCGGTGCTGGACTACCGATTGTATGGCATGGTCTCGCAAGTGATGGATGTGCCGCAGCGGATGCCTTGGCTGTGTGGAATGCTCGCACTGATCCAGTATCTGATCCTGGCCGGTCCAGGTAAATTGGGTGATACGGATAGTGTTCTTGATAGGTGAGTCGCACATCCCGATTTGAAATTTCCCAAACCCTACCCCCCTCCATCATTTCTCGCAAGCAATCTCCTACAGGCCACGGATGGCCGTTGGATTCAGATGGGTGTTTCGAAGCGCGAGACGGCGCGACCCTAAGGGGCATGTGGTCTCCCAACTGTGGAGAAGCGGTACGGTTGGATCTCCGAACCATGATCTACACAGGCGGCGGCGACCGGTGTGTTTGCGAGAGTGATGGTCAGAGAGGATGATGGTGCGCAGTGGTCGAGAAGCAAGCCATTGGAGTAAAGACGGCGGGCCAGCAGGAGTATGCAGGTGGGATGCGCATTGCGCGCATGCTGCAACGATCACTTGATCGCCTGGTGGATGGCAGCCCCCGCCCGCCCTCGTTTTCTCGACTCTCATTTGTCCAGCCCCTGGCCGTCTCGTCATTACCGACTGTGACCGGCGCGTACTGTTTTCTTACCAGACGGGTACCGTCCGTTACATGACACCGGACTCTCGTCTGGCTTGCCAGTTCTGCAGACATCAGATTTCCAGTTGATTAAACTGCTAGCTAGCATGTTGGACGGGCGGGCTGGCTGTGCCCCCTCTTCCTCCTCCCCCCCGGGGGAAGAAAGGAGGAGCTTTGACATCTTCTGGTCATGCCATCCGGGACTGGGGTGCCTTCGGACATACCGAACTGCTACTTTCTAAATTGCTCTTCCGTTGGACCTGGTTTGGTCTGCAAGTCTGCTGCCGTCTGTCAATGGGTCTGTCAATTTGAACCGTGGGCTGGCCCGGCCCTTCCGTCCCGTCCAGCTCCAGCTCTCTTTTTTTGTGCCGTGCACAACCTGGTCGGAGGGGCAGTCAAACAATGATCGCGGCATCGATCGCACAAAGATTCAGAGGGTGGGAACCGCAACGAAAAAAGCAATTTTCGCACTACCGGCTAGTCGACCACCTCCTTCGAAGTTAAATTGAGCGAAGACCGCCTATCCCTGCCCCTGGAAATGGGCGTAGTCGAGGTCCTGGCCCACGGACCGACGCTAATGGGCCTTCAAAATGAATCATGACGATCAGGCACCTATTGGTTGAGCGAAACGGTTTTATGACTTGGGGAATTGCATGGATAGGGCGGAATCTCGTCCTGTTCTTCATTTTCAAGCCATCAATCACCTAGTTCGCCCCCATATTTTTTTTTCTTTCTGAGATGGAATCCCGGCCATGACTCGCCGGGGCCCTATGGTGCGTTCAGACACGCTTCCGGAGGGCGCTCAGGTTGGGTTTCCCCCGAACAACGCCTGAATCGTCATCTTTCTCTGCTCCGTTGCTGGACGGATGAACGAATCCGAGGCGCTTATGCTCTCAGTCCGCGGCCTTGTCGTCATCTTCACCACTGGCAGCATCTCCATTCGCACCAATGGCTGGCCCAAGCTCCTGTACTGCCCCCCCTAGCCAAGCAGATCCCTCTTCTAGTGCTACTGGACTTGCTCACTTTATCGGAGTGTGGCCGTCATTACTATCCTGATGGGGCAAACCGCATCTCCACAGTCTGAGATTCTGTCAAGTGTCAACTGTTACCTCGGGGCTATCGCGGACCTCCCCGTGTGATTCGACTGTTGACTCCTTCTGTTTCCCCTTCGGGATGATTGCCTTACCTTGAACCTAATTATCGTTTTTCCACTTCATTTTCATTGTTCAAAAAATCATTTTTTTCTTTTTTCTTACGTTTTTCTTTTCTCCACTAGGTTCCTTCACGAGACCATCCGCGATCATGTCCTTACCCCCGCCCTTTTTCCAAACCTGCTTCTTGCGACTAGGGCCGCGCTCTTTCCTTTGAACGCCCGACCAGCGTCCACAGCGGCAGATGGTCGCGCCGCGGCTTCGGCGCCGCAGCTGTCCGTGCAGCCTCCAGCATCTCCTATAGTGAAAGGGTCTGTTAACGACGCCGCTGGCGCAAGTGACGCTTGCAGTAGCGTTTCCTCGTCTGGTGTCTCCGCGACAGCGCCCTTATCGCCGGATCCGCGGCCTTCCACGCCCGACGTCGCTTCTATCAAGCGACGCTGTGCGGCCAGCATTCTCTCCCGGCTTCCTCGCCCAATCGCACGTCGTTTCTTCGGTGTCCCGTCTGTTCCTATCGAGCATAACCCGCCGTCCCGACGCCCAGGGCGACTGAATAGCTCCGACGAGCCTGAATCGCCCTGGCTCGACTCTCCCCAGGCGTCATCCACGGTCTCACCCGCAGATTGCGGCCACGAGGAGTCACTCCTACTCGCTGCCGTTGAGGAGGTTCTCGACCTCTTTGCCGATGATTATTGCAACAAGCATTTAGTATATTCCATCATAGAAGCCATTCTCACAAAGCTCCTTCCGGAGTTGTCTGAGCGCAGCATCGCCGAGCTAATGGAGGACAGGGGGCTACCCCTGGCATCTAACTTGACCCCGCCTACCCATACGGGCTCATAGACGGCGTACAGTGTACGCGGAGCGCTACATCGAGATATTTCCTTCCCCTAGGATAGTAATGTTAATGATACCAATATCGCATAATAACCCTTCTTTCAGGGTTCAGTTCTTGCTGAAATCTGGTAGACAAGTAGTGCTTAAGCCACTCATATAAGCGGTATGTAACCCTCCATCACCACGTGCCCAAGCTGTGGTGGCTTCTGGTGGCAACTAGGGCGTGTCACCAGAAAAATGTGGGCCCAAACTAAGTGGAAGTAAACATTTCCCTTAGCTCAACTCATGCATGCCCCAGAATACAGGCGTTGCAAAGACGTCTTTTTCTTTTCTCGACCCCACCCGCCAATGGCATCAATCCAAAGACAGTCACGTAGTAGTAGTAGCAATACACCAATGGCCAAAAAGAGCGACAGCATAGTAGATAGGTAGTAGTAGTATGATACGTAATGGTTACAAACACATGCCGGCATGAACAGACAGACAGACAGACCGAGTACCGGGATGGTACAAAAATGTCATCTTGCCTGGGCCGAACGTCAAAAAAGAAACGAGGCAAACCTGCAGAAGAGTCAACGAATGAGAAGGCCTCCCGATCTAGGCGTGCTAGTCGTGGGGAGGGGGAAGCCCCGGTTGCTGGCAGGCCGAAGAAGGACCTGACAGGGTCCCTTATGGATGGGTGCCTTATCTGTCGAATCAGACCAGGCCATCTCCCCAGAGACAGCGCATAAAGGACCGGGGGGAGGATCAAACAAGGTATTAGTTGGTGGGAATAGCGCAGAATGCGGTGAGAAAAAAATAATAATCACTAAAGCAACGACAAATAAGAAAGAAGAGAAGTAAAGAGGGAAAAGAAAAAAGAAAAGCCACAATTAGTCTGGATACCGTATGATCACGGGTCTTCCAGGTTGTTTGCCAGTTAAGTTTACCCCGGCTGGCAGCCCTATCAACGCACATCAAGTTAATGCACCAGGATTTCAAACGATGTTCAATGAACAGAGGAAAGCAAGGAAGGACAGGTACAGAATAGTGACACAAATGCAGATGCAGGCAAATCCGCGCGAGCGGGTAAGTTCTGGATAATATGCTCGTCTCGAGACAAAAGTATATGAGCCAAATAGTAAAAAGACAAAAATAAAAACCATCTCAAGGCCGTATTCCAAAGCGACACTCCTCTCAACACCAAAAGTTCCTGCGAACAGGACCAAGCACCTGGGTTCCCTTCCCTTTAGACCGGATCGGATATTTGAGGTTGCCCTCGCGCGGTGTATCATCAACAAAAGAGTTTTTTTCTCAGGGCCTCGGCCGTATCGCAGAGCCACTGACTGTCACAAAATTGTTCGATCTGGCATGAAAATGCAATGTTAAAGCAGAAGACCGCCCGGTAAAGATAAACCATATGTGGTATAATGAAAAGAGCAATAGAGAAACACCGAAGAAATATTAGGATAATATGCCAAAGGTAGTGATCACATGTAGTCGCTACATGTTTATGATGCCATGATTCGGGAGATCACCGGCAAGCCAGGACTTTCTAGCCAAGGCTGTGGATGCTTCTCTTCCTGTTCAATTGAGGTGAATCGTCATGTTCGTCAATTCGAGTGAGACCCCCTGGAAGGGTCACTTGCTGTGCCTTGGCGAGCTCAAGCCTTTCCATCAACTTCCCAATTGTCATGTAATCATCTGCCCCAAGACCTGACGGCTGCTGTTTGAAATAATTCATCACGAGCTCTAGTGCTTTCCTAGCTTCATCCTGGGTTGGCGAGCCCGGGGAGCTAACCGGAGATACAGTGTTGGACTTTGAGAACAATAGTGGATATATGGACTTGGCTTTGAATTCCGGATTGCTCCGATTGCGTTTGATTGTATTCGCAGATGTATCAAGTGCTGGGAGGAATTTCTGGTCGTGATGTTCCTCAGTGGGAGGTTGATATTCTGAGATTGAGAGTGACTGTCGTAGTGCGGCTTTTGTCAAATGCTCGGAGTTTTCATCAGGGCACAAAAGGTTCGGGTCGGACGAACTGAGTGGAAATGTTTGGCTGCGTGGTCTGGTGGAATTGCCATCCGCGGATGAACCAAGGGACTGGCTAGTAGGAGTAAATGGACTTTCGGTTACAAAAGTGGATGTCGGGCTAGTAACCCCGGCAGAGAAAGAGCATGTTGTGTCCAGCGAGGTTGTACTCTTGGTATGCGTGTGCTGATAGTCACTTGCAATCTCTGCAAGACTCTGGACAAGCTCGCCCCTGATGTTCTCGTTGCTCTGGACGGGTGATAGCGGCAATGGTGATAGGAAGCCTGTGGGGGATGTAGGCGAGAGTAAGGTGGGCGACTGGACCGCGGACGCCAGTGCTGAATCGATGCTCAAACAAGTAGGGCTATCCGATTCGCTCTTTGTGCTGGCCCAGGAGCCCTTGCGATTCCTTGCACCCATCAAATTATACTTGCGTTTGAATTTCTCCAACCAACTGGTACTTAGCACCTTCTCCTTGCCGTCTGAACTGCCACAGGTACTAGCAAAGAAAAGGGCCTTCTCACGTATCATCTCATCGTTCAACGGGTAGCCTTGTTTCTGGTAGTTCCGCGCCCAATTAGACAAAGCCTTTTCAATGTCTGGGACTCTTCCTTTGGCACGCTTGATGGGAGATCGACTGCCATCGTCTGGATTGAGATACTTATCCTTCTGCCGCAGGACCTTTGAGACAGTACTTTCATCATGCCAGTTAGACGATATTTTCAGCGAGTGGGATCCTCTAAGGGTGACTCTACCTTCTTTCGACTCCAAATAATGCTGCAAATTGCACTAGTTAGTCTAAAAAATCTTCCCTCAGTAGGATCAGAGAACGCTTTACCTCCAATGTCTGTTTGCTTGGCTGTCTTATTCTCTTCGTGATAAAGACACATCCGCCGACGGTCTTCATCCGTCAGAGTCCTGCGAGGCGTTGGGTTGCTATTCGACTTTCCACTGGATGACTTGCCGGATGATGATTTGCCGGTCGTCGACTTGCCAGTAGATGCCTTGCTAATGGATGCCTTGCGAGGAACTGCTGGAATCATTGGCACCGGGGCAAGTGTGGGTGGTGCCTGCATCAAGGGTACAACTGACATGCCCGGTTCCGGGAATGGCCCTTGGTTTGAAAGCATACTAGGCCAGGAACTCGGGGGTGGAGGCATGGCTATTGGAAATCCCTCATAAGGTGGCGGGATATCGACGCCATAGGATGGGTCTAGTGGTACAACTCCATATCCAAAGGCGTGGTAGTCCAGCGTTGGAGATTGCTCGGAGGGACTGAATCCACCTATATCAAGCCAGGAAGTCTGCGCAAAGTCATGTTCCTGCGCATGGCTGCTCTCTGTGTCCATGTCTGGCGAGCGAGCCCTAAGCGTGGAGGCTGTATGCGGAGGATGAGAGACTAGGAGGGGTAGTGATATCACAATGGTTCGTGAGTGGTGGTGATGGTTGCACCGAAGTCAGTGCCCGACGAAGACAGTTCTATCGGCGCACTATAGAGGTTATAAAGACCGAGATCGGGTGATTTGGGAATCGATAGACGGGTGCAAAAAAGCAAAGAAAAGGAATGTCCAGTAACGACGGACAGCTTAAGGCCAAGACAAGGTAGGCAGACGCATGTTCGAGCTTGAACGGATGATAGACGAGGGAGATGGTGCGATTACGGAAGCTGAGGCGCTCGCATGCATCAACTGGAGTGGATGGAAAGCGAAGATCCTCGGGAGCAAATCTCCTTCACACTCGTAGTTCGGAAAGGTTCCCAGAGTAGTAGCGCATACCAGACACCTGCAGCAGGCCTGGAGTCTGATCTTTTTCTGTACAAGGGGGGGAAAAGGACGGAAAAATGGAGAGGCGGGTCGTCTTATGGGGAGGGGTGGGAGGAAGTGCGGCGGGTGGGTAAAGCCTGGAGTTTAAAAAAGGGACAGGCCAGGCCACCGGCACAGGGACGATCAGGGAAGGAAGAGAATCAATTGGAGAAGGAAACAACGACTAGGAGATGGGCGGTAAAAGGGTAAGGTACGTCGGGAGGTACGTCAGTTCACGGACAAAACTGGGCGGAGAAGGCAGTAGTAGTAAGTATAGTAGTGGCAGTGGTTGCAGTAGGTTATGGAAGGGAAAGTAAGTAGCAAAGTAGTAGATATAGTAATACCCAATGTATGGATGTAGTAGGTTTGTGCAGTACTTACCTACTGAGTACGAACTAAGGGAAATGTACCTAGAGCGTATTTCGTGGTATACTTACTCCTACTACTTCAGGTTCTAGCTGGTAGATCAGTCGGTAACCTCCGTACAGATGTCCTGACTGGAGATTACTAGTACTAGTAGTAAGTCGTAAATGTTCTAGGTAACCTGCTTCCTGTTCTGCATCAGCCGATGAGAATCGATACAGATAGATAGGACCTCCTATCGAGAAACTAAGTACTACTACTAAGTTACTGAGATACATCGAAGGGCTGGATTCCACCGATTTTGAAGAGGGGACCCCCCGGTTCGTTGATACCTAACCTATCAGATCTATCCAAGGAGATTATTACGGACAGCCAGACACGAGGCCGCCGCCGACGATGCGATACATCCAGATTTCCAGATAGCGAGAAACCTGGAGCTGTGGGCGAAATGGGAAAAAAACACAAGGGAAGGTTTAGGGGGGGAAGTAATAATCGAAAAAGAAAAAAGAAAAAAAAAATCAGAAAATAGAAAAAATAAATAATAATTAAAAATAAGAAAATAAAAAAGATGCAGGTCTTGCACGACGATTGGGCCGCGAAATCGAATAGTAATTCAGAGTAAAGGCAGGCACGCTAAACCCCAACCAGATGATGGGTGGGGGAACTGCCGCTGATTGGCAGGGATCTAGATTGACCAGCAGGGATCTGCCTTTTGCGACCAAATACCACTAAAGACGCATGGTAAGGCCTCGTACCACATCGGGTCAGCATCCTGTATCGTGCATGACGGCTCGTATCGTGGTTGCGAATGGTCCGTTCCTAACTACTAGCAATCAGGCAAAGTATGGAAGTAGCAGCAGCAGGCTCCCCGAGCTTGACAGAATGACATGATG